TCATTTACGTTCGTGAATGTTCAATTATATGTTCGTTTATGTTCGTTCATTTATGTTTATTTATGTTCGAACAGAGGACACATTGAATATGTTACGAAGATTATTGAAGTTGTTTGGATTTCAAGAAGATTGTTTTGTTGAACAAATTAACTTTAAGATTTTATTATGTTCATATAAGCTTATTTATAATTTATGTATGTTTTTATTGTATTCGAACAAATTAATTTTAAAGTTACAGGTTTATTAATAAATTTTAAGTTGTTATTATTGTTGTTTATTTTTTTTACATTCATTTGTTGTGTTCGAATAAGTTTATTTTTTGTGTTTGTGTTGTTCGTTTATGTTCATTTATTGTGTTCGTTTATGTTCATTTATTATGTTTGTTTATGTTCTTTCGTTTATTTTCGTTTACGTTCGTTTACGTTCATATATAAATTTTTTTTATTCGTTTAGGTTCGTTTACATGCCTACATGATAGCCTCTTTCGTCGTCCCAAAAACCCTAACTTGAACGAACTAAGCTATCTTGCTTCACTATTGTCAGTGAGAGGTGGGGGGAATGGCTTCACAAATGGCGATCTTGATCCGAACACGAGCCCTACTCCGAGTAAACCAATCTAAATCCATTTCCAGCTTCCCTTTCCTCTCTCAAGAACCCCAACTCGCTGAGTCAGCTCACTCCGCGGAAACCGGCGAGACCCAAACGCGAGACAACCTCCCTAGCGCAATTCATTATTCCCCTTGGCTTCCCAAGCCAATCTACTTCCACCGGAATCAATACCTCTCTCAAGGCCTGGAAGGGCCTGCTTTGATGAATCATTTTGCCGATTTGATGACTAGACAACGATGGGTCGATGTGAAAGAGATATTCGAGTTCTGGGTTCGCTCGCTGGATAAGAATGGGAAGCCTTATAAACCCGAAGTGAATCTTTATAATCATTATTTGAGGGCTAATTTTATGATCGGAGCATCGGCAAGCGATTTGCTTGATTTGGTGGCTCAAATGGAAGAGTTTGCCATTGTTCCCAACACAGCGGCCTTTAATTTCGTTTTAAAAGCTATGAAGCAAACTAAGGAAACTGAAGCTGCTGAAAAATTGCTCAAACGGTTAGTTACAATGATACTATACTTGTTCTCATTTTTTTTCTTTTTCTCTCTTTTTAGTTGTATTGATAGTTTGAATTTTATATTTAAAATGTGTCATGGGAAATTCTTTTTGCGACAATCACCTCTTCGATTTTATTATTCCTAAGAGCTGCTTGCAAATAACAATGATTTTCTAGGAATTCAATTATTTTAAATTATTTTTTATTAGTAATACACTACTTTAGTTGGCTTTTCTTTGGAATTACTCTCTAAAATATTACACATATTCACCCTTCAATCTGTCCCTATCAGGATGCTGCAGGGTGGAACAGAATCTCTGTCTGATGATGAAACTTATGATTTGGTTATTGGAATGCTGTTTGAGTCACAACGTTTGAAGAAGCTTTGAAATAAATTGATCTGGCCTTAAAATCTGGTTATAAGTTGTCTATGAAAATAACTACGGAGTATGTGGCATGCTTTGTTAAACAGGGCCGGCTTGACACTGTAGTTGATGTCATTGAGATGTGCACGGTATATGACACATTTTGTTGGTAACGATATTGTTTTGAGTTAGGAGGTTGCCTTTACTCGGTGTTTGATGACATAACTTTGTTCTCATAGGTCTTTCCAGACAACAGATCATAATAGAGCTATTTATCCAAATTGGACTTTGTGCAACTATCTTGCAGAAGTTGCAATGCAAGCAGATAACAGCAAGCTAGCGTTTTATGCCTTGGAGTTTATGGCCAAATGGATTGCTCGGGGCGAAAATGCAAGGCCACCTTTCTTACTTTCTGTAGATGAAGGATTGATTGTCTCAGCACTTGCGACTGCAGGTAGGACATACAGCTCAAAACTGTTAGATGTGTCCTGGGCAATCCTACGGCATTCATTGCGTCAAAAGGTGCCCACCCTGAATCTTTCCTTGGGAAGATATATGCACATGCGTCATTGGGGAATCTGCAGAAGGCTTTTGGTACATTGCATGAGTTTGAGGGTGCTCATGGCAATTCCATTAACGAAGCAGAAGATCTGTTCTCACCTTTCACTACTTTATATCCATTGGTTGTGGCTTGCTCCAAGAATGGATATGAGACTTTGGATTCGGTACTTTTACACTTAAAGTTATATACAGTTTGATGGATTTTCTTTTGAATATTCTATTATTTAATATCTCTGGTGATTGATATATTTCTCTAGAATAGGATATATTATTAGTATGTGAAATATCAGCATGCATGCATGTTGTCTTTAAATTAGAAGGAATTTAATTTAAAAATATTAGTAATACACAAATATCGGTGAAGTTCCTCAAGTGGCTCCATTTGACGCTTGTTGAGCATGTTTTTGTGTTTAGAAATGTGGAATATGTTTAAAATCAATTTACGTTTGCTGCATCATTCTGTTCTTGAAATGTATACATAGGTCACTTTAACAGTATTTATTACTCTTCTATGTCCTTGCAACTACAATTCTGTGTTAGGAGTTAGGAGGGAATGTTTTCTTTTATCATATTTTTCTTTTGGAAACTAGAGGCTGTTCAAGTTTCCACTTATGGCATTCAATTCATCATTGCTCTTTTAATTTTTTTCCCTAAGCCTAGCCACATATTTTGGCTCATTGAGTGAGGAGGGTGTTGCTGATGTTGAAAATTGAAATATTCTCCGCAGGTATATTATCGACTTGAGAACTTAAGTCATGCAGACCCTCCCTACAAGTCTGTTACTGCTCTGAATTGTATAATTTTGGGATGTGGAAACATATGGGACATTGAGCATGCCTACCAAACATTTGATGCAATAAGTTCATCTTTTGGGTTGACCCCTGATATTCATTCTATAATGCTCTAATCTATGCATTTGGAAAGCTCAAGAAAGTATGTAGCTCTCTCCCTTGAATGCACAAACACTTGCAACCAGTACATTTAGCTGCATGCATGAGCTATTACAAGCATGTATCCTAGATATTGTCAAAAATGCTTAGTTTTTTTCGTTTGTCTTTTTTTTTCTTCGCTTGCACCTGTAGCATAGTCTTACATTCTAAATAACTTCATGGCAGACTTTTGAAGCCTCAAGGGTGTTTGAACACATGGTGACTTGGGTGTGAAACCCAATGCTAAGTCATATTCATTGCTTGCTGATGCTCATCTAATCAATCGAGATCAAAAGGCTGCTCTCTCTGCAATTGACGAGATGGTAACTCTATTTCCTTTCTGGTTGTTAGAACCTTATGATATCTCCAAAGAGAAAGATTAATGACCGTTCAACAATTCTTTTGGTAGGTAAATGCTGGATTTGTACCATCAAAAGAAACACTAAAAAAGGTCAGACGGTGATGCATCCGAGAGATGGACTATGAGTGTGATGATCAAGTAGAATCCCTTGCAAAGAAATTCAGGATCCGAATGGACACTGAAAATCGCAGGGGCATGCTTTTCGATCTGGACTATGGCACTGAATATGCATCATAGACAGGTTCTTCAGTGTTATGGTATAAATACTTGCATGAGGATGTCCAGGGTATTTGTATGTGGCCTTAGCAGTTGGATTGTTACTTTAATGTATTTGTGGATTGTTACTTTGGAGTTTAGACTTTGAAAATGTTTCATATACTCATTTGATAATATTTTTGGTAAAATTTATTAATTTATGTTTATATTAAGCTCTGTATAGTATTAGTAGATTTTACCTATAATTAAGAAAATAAGTTAAAAATTTTGGTGAGCTTAACGAGCATCGAGCTTAACGAGCAATGAGTCGAACAACAAGTTTTTTTTAACGAGCACAAGTAGTGCAAAACTTTAACGAGTTTATCTAGCAACTAATTGCGATCGACTCACTCAATAAACACCAATGATTCAAGTATCTACGGTGATGATTGGGGTTTGACCAAGTTCAAAAGGCGCAAGGTCCAATGAAGTATGAACTGATTTGTCTGTAAATTTTTAGATTTTTGCCAAATTTGGGCCTTTGCAGGATTAATGTTATGATCTTTAGCTTGTGAATTTGTATCCCTAATTTCTCAATTCTCTGTTTTTCACCCTTTATATGCATTCTGAGGAATAGAAACACGATTTTAGGGGAAGGTTTTCCTTTTTAGCAAATAAATGTTTAACCATCCCAAATATTTATGGAAGCATAAATTTGTCTCTTATTTTTGACTTTTTAATCGTAATAATCTGCCTCTTCAGATGTTCAACATCTACCTTGAGCTTGGAAATCTACTCTGAGTGTTTCTCAAGCTTCTTGACCTCAGGGAGGAAGGAGGGCAGTAGTGGTTGTGAATGGAGACTTTGGACAATGGTGTTTCAGGCTAGAGGACAGTATTTATTAATGATTTAATAATTTAGTAATTATTTCAAATTAAAATGAGGATCAATTTCATATAATCATTTTACATTAATATCAATTTTATAGAATGTGTACATTTTGAGGATTAGAATTGTTATTATACCATACAACATCACCATCTACGTTAAATTTAGCGACAATTCCTTTCAATCTAACAAGTGATAAAACAGAAATGAAGCATCTTTATGTATAATTTTAAAAATTATAGTTCCGACGGTTCCGTTCAATCTAACGAGTGATCAAAACATAAATGATTATGTATAATTTTAAAAATTATAGTTTCATGATTAAAACAAAACGAAACATAAATTAAATATAGTTTGATGACCAAAAAAGAAATGAAAAAAAATAGATTACCGACCAAATATATAATTCTGTTTTGTCCTAATTATTGTGCACCTTAGGAAATGATTTAATTATGAACCGGACCGGTTTCGGCTCAATGGTCCGGGTGAGACAAAAGAGGCAAAATGCTCTTTGGGTATCGAAAAACCAAAGTTAGGTCAATCCGGTTTTCCTAATGGACCGCTGCGTATACAAAATCCCCCGAACCGTATCCTCGTTTCGCATCGTCTCTTACTTACCCCTCTTTCTAGATCCCCAAATTAACCTGAAAATCGATCTCGGATTTTCTCGTCGTTCCTCATACAATCTGTAAATCAAGTAAAGATCTATTCGATTCTCATTGTTTCCTTTTGATTGATATTTCTTTCTGTCGCAGCCGTTGAATTTACTCTTCTTTAGGGTTAGGGTTCTCCGATCTCCTCGATCGAGCCCTTTTTGCTAATTTATCTCTCATAATTTCTCGTTTTTTCTTTGGTTTATGTTGATTCCCCTCGTTGATTCGGTAGAATTTTGTCTGATTTTTCGTGATTTGTTTTTTAGGGTTTAGTTTGTTCGATTCGTTAGGGTTCGTTTCTATCTGATAATTTGTTGAGGGTTTCGCCGTTTTAAGTGTCAGCGAGATTGTTTACGGGAGTTTTGTGCCCCTAATTTGTTGCATCCTCGGCTAATTTGGAATTTAGGGTTAGGGTTTTCTTGTAAAATTAGGGATCCTAGTGGTAGTTAAATTAATTAGGGAAAATGTCTCTTCGCATAGTGAAATAAATTTTAATGCCTAATTAAGTGCTATCCTCATCTCAATTGAGGCTTATAGGGCTTTAATTGATCTCCATTTTTCTCAGCTCCATTAAAGTTTTAATTCATCAGAATTTAGAAGTAATTGACTTTCACCTGACTTAAATTCATTGTTTTCGTTATTATTAAGTGGTTAATAAGTTAACTGTTGCCTTTTATTATTGAATTAACTATTTTTAAACTTATTAACCTTTTCAGTTTACCATTCAAAGCCAAACAAGTTTATTAAAATGGATAAAATACCATTCTATTGAGTATTGGTTTGTGCATCATAGTTAACACTAGTAGCATGATGCTCCTGAGCTCTGTTATTTCATATTTTTGCTTAGTCTAAACTAGTTTCGGGCTAATTTATATATTTATTGCTTGTGTTTTTTTTACATATGCTTGATGATCCTTCATTGTTTTTGCTATTGCGTTTCTTTTTCTGTCTTACCGTGTCAGTATGTTTTTTGTGTATATTCTGTGATCGAAGTGCTGCTGTATGTTATCTATTTTTTTTTATCTTCTGTACATAATTAACGTTTTTGTCCCTCAGGTTGTAAATGGGATTCAAAAGACCTTTTCACATTGAGGAGCTGCAGGAGCTTCCTTTCAAGCATCCAAGACAGTTTGACAATAGCAAAAAGCTGACTCAGTTTGCTGATACTATTCCCCTTAGTCATAGTCATCAGAATCCTCATATTTCAGGTAATGTCTTCTCTGACTTTTCTGCTTGTTTAATGTGAATGGTTCTTTTTCTGTTGTATGTTTTTTTTTTCATTCATGTGATCTTCCCCTTTTTGACAGTTGGAATTGAGGGTGGATTTTGTAAATACCAATGGGATGAAGAATTTGAAACTGATGATCGTAACAATGCTGGATGTTTGGTTGATAAGGATTTTGAAACTAGTGCTCCCTTGTCTTTGATCACTAGCATGTTCAGTGAGGAAGAAACTGATACTGGGGCAGCAGCTATTTCACTTGGTTCTCCAGAATATTTTTACTTCAATTTCCCAAGAAGAACGTTGGGCCATTTTGGTGATTCCTATTCGATGTTCTTGGACCGGTCTCCTCGAAAACAAGTTCCACTTGGGCCAAATCATCAAGCCAATCTTCCTTTGTTTGGTAGGCACATAAAGAAGGATAAATTAGTTCAAAATGGTGCATCAGACACCCATGATGTTGACTATGAAGAGATTATGATGGGAACATGCATCATTCCAATGCCTGCCTCAGATTTTTCCACAAACAACAATGGCAAAGTTGGTGCTGGCAGAACAGACTGTGGTTGCCTGGATAGGGATTCATTTAGATGTGTGCAACAACATGTCATGGAAGCACGGGAAACACTACGAAAATCCCTTGGGCATGAAAAATTTGTGAATCTGGGGTTTTATGACATGGGGGAGGATGTTGCATATAAATGGAGTGAAGAAGATGAAGAGATATTTCGTGAGGTTGTTTTCACTAATCCTGCTTCATTGGGTAAGAAGTTTTGGAAGCACTTGTCCGTTGTTTTCCCATCAAGATCGAAGAGGGAGCTTGTCAGCTATTATTTCAACGTCTTTATCCTTCATAGACGAGCTGTTCAGAACCGATCTAGTGTTCTTGAAATTGACAGTGACGATGATGAGTTCCATGGAAGTCAATGGGCTTATGGAGTTGCTGCTTCAGATAAAGATGAAGACTTTTCTGCTATTGAGTCTCTTGGTGATCAGGAAGGTCTGTCAAACCATCAAGGTGATTGTCTTGAAGATGATGATGACGATGGCAGTGACGAGGACGATAGTGGTGACTCTGATAGTGATAGTGGTGATGGAAATTATAGCAATGCTGCAGACAGAGGGGATTATGGTGTAAATCTTTTGTTAAAAGGGCATGATGCAAAATCATTTGATGAGAGCAGGTTCAATGCTGTTTTTGAACAAACAAATAGAGTTTCGGGACAAGTAGAGGATTTCAATACACAGGAAGACTCATGCATGTCTTTTGAGTTTCAGCCGAACATGGTCGATTCACGTAGTCTGGTTGACACAAAGGCTGATTTGCACGATAGAGAAATGAAGACCGACCTTAGCAAGTGTATGCAGACCAAAGTAGATGGGTCTAGTGACCTGCTGAGCCATGTCTACTTATTGGATACCTGTGATGCAAAAATCTGGGATGCCCGGTATCCTACGGCTGTTACAAAAGGTATTGATCTCCAGCCTACATGCAACATTATCGAAGAGATTTTTGGACAAGACACTTGGGATAACAAGACGAGAAACGAATAAGCATCGAACGATGGCTAAGACTTTTGGTTTTGACTATTTATTTTTCTCTTAAGTTCATTTGGCCAATGTATTTTTGCTTCTACATGTTAGAAAGTGCTGTTAATGAGATCTTTTCTGCTTTTGTAAATGACACAGCAGTGAAGCACTCTTTTTCTCTCATTAGGGTCGAAAGTTGCAGCATGCAGGTAGTTTTTTTTTTTTAATTATATAAAAGCTGAAACATGCGACGAATCTTTTTGTGGGTAAAGTTGCAGGTAATCCATGAATGGCATTGACTTGTATATAATTATTGGTAATACCTCATATATTCGTGGCTTTTGTTTGTATAGATGATTTATTAACAAAATTATATGTATGTGTTAGCTTTCATATGTTTTTTTTCTTTTTTACGTTTTATAAAGTTGAGAGCTTAATCATTCATGTGTTTTCTTCTTTTTCATATTTTATAATAATTTAAGTAACATTTAATTTTTGTGTGTGTAAGTACTTATGTGTCAAGCAACACATATACACAAGTCAGATTAGGTTGGTGTCAAACTTCACTTTTACATCATATTGCATCCGAATCAACAACCTAAAAGGAAAAGAAAATGAGAAATAATTAATAAAGCTAAAAGTAATTGGAGATCATGATTATTATAAAATTTAGGTTTAATACCAAAATAAGGGCCTAAATTATACCGTTTTTTCCGAATAGGTGTCTAAACTATTTTTTGACCTATCCCGATGCCTAACATTACAAACGCCTAACATTACAAACGTTACGATTTTAAGTGTCTGGGTCGTCAACAACGTTAATTTCTCCCGTTAAGTGACATGTTACAATCTGATATTTTGAATTTTTTTTTAAATATTAGAAAATATTATTATATTTATAAAAAAAATCCTAATTTCTCTTAAATTATAAAAAAGCCCTAAAATCCAAAATTTAACACATCACCGCGCCTTTTTCGGCCATGACCAACGCCTTCGATGTAGTCCCTACTATCCTCTTAGTCATATGTCGCCATAGTTGTCGTCGATTGACCGTTGAACTATCACGATTTCATAGGGGTTTTGGTTGCCGAGGGGAGGTGAGATCGAGTGGAGCTTCGTCGACGGCAAAGGGCGGCAACTAATGTGAGTTTTGGGGTTGAAATGAAGGTTTTCAAAGTTATGAGGTTATTTCAAAATATTTCTATTTTTTAAATATATATATATTTTAAATTTTAAATTTTTAAATAAAATTTTTAAAATTACTAGATCGTAACACGTGTCACTTAAAGGGAAACATTAACAATATTGACGGCCCGTGCACATAAAGTGGTAACGTTTGTAATGTTAGACAACATGATGAGTCAAAAAATAGTTTAGACACCTATTTAAAAAAAGTGGTATAGTTTAGATATTTATTTTGATATAAGCATAAAATTTAATCAGAAAATATGTTACAAAAATTAACTTAGAGAGCATGCAAACATGACAATTACAGATAAGCTCGTAAGCCCTTAACTACTCATCCATCCGTTAGTCTCGCAGACAGATTTCCTCGAACTCATTTCTATCTTATTTCTTTAAAAAGCAATTAAGAATTTAAAGTAAAAAAATATTCAAAGTGATATCAACATAAAATAGAACATGTATAAGAAATAAGATTTAATATAGTTTGGTCTTGTCTATCTTCATAGGGGAGATGAACAACAATACACTATAAACGTAGAGAACAAATACATGATATCACATGTATTCTAAAATCCGATATAGATACCAAAACTTGGTATACCCTAAAACATTCTTTCAACATTCCTATAAAACTATCTATGCAACATATGCCCCAAAAGTTACAGAGATCCCAAAAAAAGATTATATATCTCCAAAACAATTCGAATATATTAATATAAATAACCAGGTTAGGTCGGTTTGTGATTTTTTACCTTAACCTCGACCCCACCCCGCTCTGACCCGATTTGAATATATTAATATTTTTAAATAATTATTTATATTAATATATTCGAATCGAGTCAGAGCGGGGTGGGGTCGAGGTTAAGGTTAAAAATCACGAACCGACCTAACCCGGTTATTTATATTAATATATTCGAATAGGGTCGGAGTGGGGTGGGGTCGGGGTTAGGGTGCGTTTAACTCACGGAATGTAAGATTATTAGTGGGAATAAAAGATTACCGGGAAATAGAATTACTGAGAATGTTGTATTTTGTGTTTGGTTGGTTTAGCAGGAATGTAAGATTATAGTGTTTGGTTAAAGGAATAAAATATTATTGGAATATATATTTTACCAAATTGTTCTTATTATATATTTATTTTTTTAACAAGTTGAATTCTACTATAATATTACTATAATTAATTTATATATTTTCTTTAAAAATTTTAAATTCATAAAATTTATATATATATTTTTTTACAAAATTAAAAAAGATAAATATGTTTAATGAAATGGTAAAATTTTATTTTAACCCCTAAACTTCATATAAAATTTTAATTATAGATTTTTTTGTAAATCTAAAATAGTTTAAGGAAAAATTTGTAATTTAACCTTCGTAGAATTTTATTATTCAACGACAGAAGAAGGACATTTTTGAAGAAAAAAAAATTTAAGGGCATTTTAGTCTAAAATGCCGGTAATCCAACAATACCTAAGGGAATGAGGGTAATCACATTCTTGGTAATATACTCAAAAAATCCATTGTTGGAAATAAAAAATTACCGTAGAATAGGATTAATGACCAACCAAACAGAGGAATGTGGTAATCTCATATGCCGTGAACCAAACACGTCCTTAAGGAACATATATCTTCTAAGCACAAGAATATTATATCCTTAAAATTAATTGTAGTGCATCCATGAACAAGACTTATGACAGACACAAAAAATAACTTAATCAAACGAAATTCAATATCTAACTTTTGAACTACAAATAATCATCATATATACCTTCAACTACGATTGGGAGGGGATATTGTCCACTTTCTTCTTATTCTTTACTCGACACGGTGAGGTTATGGTTAAAAAATTGTGCGACATCTGAGTTGAGTGTGTCGTCCTACACTTACAAAATTACGTGACAGATTTGATGAGAATTAATGAAATTTGGTTCCCCCTTTTCATGTGGCTCTTGCGCCCTCCCTCCTATCCTAGCACCACCATCTTTCCTCCTCCTGCTTGACATCACTTTCCCGTTGTTTTAATCTCTGAATTAGATAAAACACTCTCCCCCGCCATGTCTTGTTACCGCCTCTTCTTCTTCCTCCTCCTCCTCTTGCTCCCACCGGAGGCCTCAACTTCGCCAGTACCCTCAAGAACCCACCATTCTTGTGATTCTTTCTCTCGACCGGAGCAACGTTCTTTGTGTCTTCAGCTTCAAGGAACTCACAATTTCCAGCCTTTCTTGCCGTCGTTACCGCCGGCCCCCTCCCAAGGCGGCGACGAAATCGATCCAAGATACGGCGTGGAGAAGAGACTTGTACCCTAGGGCCCAAACCCTCTTCACAACTGAATCCCTCTCCAAGATTTTGCTTTCTCTGCAACTCTTGCTCGTGCATGGGATTTACATATACAGTATGTCCCTTCCGACAGATGACGGGAAAAGATTCGGCGTCCAGCAGTTCATAGAATCGTGGTAGTAATTAAAACATGAGCTAAGTTTGCTGTATGTTAAATTTTTCAATAGTGTTCGTTAAATTTCCATACTTGTTTTTGGAGCAAGTTTGCAGGCAGCGACACCCACGAGTTTGATTAATTAGTATGGTATATATATGGTTGAAAGAAAGGGAAGGTGATCAAGGGAAACCCATGACTTTCATTAATGGAGGAGATTTATTAGGCTTTTGCAATTAATATGTTGATGTACTTAATCTATGCTGTTTCCATATATGACATTGTTTATTATACTAATATTTGTTTACTTCTCATTTTTTAAATTTTTTAAAGATTTTTTTTTTGGGTAGATTTGGAAGCATGATTACTTGATAGAGAAATTATTTAATATTTTAATAGTTTTGATTGATTATAAGATATTTTGTTTAAAAAAATTTAGTCAGTTATAATATTATATGACGTAATTTAAACCCATTACCTCTAAAAAATAATATTATCTTTAACACTGAAAAATTAAATAAATACCCTTTAAGAATGATCTTTCTGTAATTAAAACACTAATAAAAATTAATTAAATTTTCAAATATTGTTTAATGATGATGATATGTGAAAGATATTTCAAGTAAAAGTGTCAATTTCATATTTTTGGTTAGAATGATTTAACACTGTTAGAATAAGTTAAATTAAATCAATGAATTCAATATATATATATATATATATGGAACTGGTAGCTTAACAAAGGAAATATTCTTTCAGATTTCAAACTATTGATACTGGGAACTCTAGGGTTTGTTCTGTTGAAGAGGAAAATCATGTGCCTGTAAACATATTCAAAGAATTTGTTTAGTTCATTGGGTGTAATATTGCAGATATGGTTTGGTTTATCCAATGAAAGAGTTGCCCAAATCAGATGCGCAAACATTCTATGGTACAACTCAATTATCAATATCATGGAAATCATTTGTATGTTTCATTTCAACTCCATTCATGTGCATGGTTTTGGTAGAATTCTATTTGCTGTGTGTGTTTACCATATGCCTCTCCTTTTCATTTTGCTGGCTACATACTGCAATATATACACGGACGTGAATAGACATAGGAGCATTTCAATATTGTTTTTTTTGTCTAATAGTATTTTAGGTTCTTATTAATTTAAATTTAAATTAAGATGATTTTTTTAATTTTTTCCAAATTTTAATATTATATATTTAATGAGTTCTTATTATTTTAAATATAGATAATTTATCACACTCAATATTTTATCATAGTTTTATCCTTGCGTGCTCTATTAATAAATCAAATGATGTCCCACGGTAAAAATAAATAAATTGTGTTTCAAAATTTTATGATAATTTGTCAATATCTAGTTAATGGAATTTAAAATGATACCAAAACATTATATAAATATTAAATAAAAAATAATATTATTTTGAGTACTTATGCTTTGGAGTTAAAGTTCAGAAAATGAATTACTAAAAATCAGACTGTAAGTCGTTTTCAGAAAATACAAAAAAAAATTATTGACCAAGAAAATGTGTTTTACATTGACCAACCTGTTTTCTGCCAACTAAACACAGAAAAATGTGAAAAATATTTTTCCGTAAAACATACATACCCTAATATTCAT